ATGTTGCTTTAAAAACATTATGCTCTTCAGATAACTGCTCCTGCAGAAGTGCACTTGCTCTCCAATCCCCCTGCAGCCAGCCTGCAATGTTTTCAGAGTGAAGAGAGTCTCAGCCATCACAAATCAAGCTGCTGCTGGCTCTGAGAGCTTTGGCTGCGCTCCTGCAGCAAGCTCCTGCCACAGCTCACTCCACAGGCAATCTGCACCTTTGGGAGCAGCCAGATCGTGGTGGAGCCGAGCTGCAGGCCCTGTCACCTCACACCCTGCGCAGTGAGGGAATGCCTCTTCCCTCATTTCAGGCACTGTGGAGTGTCCAGGCTAAAGCCAAGGCTTCCTAGGCAGTCCACAATTTTCAGTATTAGTATCCCAAAGCATCTCCAGCGTTCTTTAAGGAGTCTGGTTCCTAGGACAGGTTTCTAAACCAAGTTTGAATAAGGGGAGCACTCCCAAGTACAAACCAGCTACTAACACACAACAACTGAGCTCCTGCAGTGCCATCCACACAGACCCTGCAGCCCCAAGGCAGCATTAGTGTCATGTCTGAGAGCAAACAGCCTGTTGCAGAAGACACTGCTACAATTGCAGTGAGAGACTGACCTGCATAAACACCAGGAGAGCTTTTAAAAGTCCTTCAAGAGCTCAATGAAACACTTAAGCAGAAGCTGAAGGACTGTCAGGTGAGCAAGACGAGGGCAGGAACCAATGCATGAATGGATTCCAGTGGATTCCATCCCACTTCAAGCCCTGGTAAAGCTCTACAGGACTCTCCCTCCTCACTTACTTAAGAGCTGTCACTTCCTCCAGTGCAAGCACACCAGGGAATGGAGAAGGAGACACACAGTGAGGCTGTGCTGCCCTTTTCCAGAATCACAGCTCCACGGGCATCACTAGGTGACAGATACAGCAGGTGCCTGCACAGTCCCTCTCCCCTCACACAAGCAGCTCACTGAAGAATGGGGAGGTGAAATGAGCCGACCTGTGTCACACAGTGACCCAGCAGAGGAGCCAGCTCTGCTCAGCAGCTCTGGCAGCCCTGACCGAGCGCTCCCGGGGAGCTGAGCTGCTCCACGTGCTCGGCCTGGCTGCTCCCCTCACTCCACCAGGCACAGCCACACCAGCGCCGCACCTTCCGCGGCAAGCAGCAACTCCTGCCACCTGAGACAAAGTCCACAGGGCTCACAACGCCCAAGCCCTGGCAGCACGGCAAGGCCCGATGCTGCCACCCCACAGCCCCCGACTTTTCCCAGCAGGTGGGCTGCGGCCAAATGCAGCTTTTGGTGCTGTTTCCTGCCATTATGGATAACATCCATGGATAAGAGCCCTTGCTGACATGCCCGTCCATTCTGTGCTCATTGCCTCATGGAATTACTGGACTGCAGTAAAGAACTTGGCACAGATCAAGTTGCACATTTCTGGAGCAGCAGTAACTTAGATCTCCCTTCCTTCAATCAGGGGGAAGAAGAAAAAGAGATCAAACAAGGATTCTCCCAGGAAAGCAAGACTACAGCATCACTTCCTCAGCAGCAATATAATTTAATTCCTTGGCTCGCACCTGTACTCCATGCTGGCTTACAAACAGAAGGAGTCACTACAGCACCATAGAAGCTTTGCAAACAACACTTTTGACGGCCATTACCATCACACAGGCAAGGCTGGCCAGACCAGACAGCACAAGGTGCCTCAACCTTCAGTGCGGCTCCGCTCCGCCCGAGCGCGGGGCAGCGCTCCCCTCAGAGCGGGCGAACCGCGCCGGGAGCGGGACCCGGAGCGGCCCCGCAGGGCCCGGGACCCCGGGAGCGGGACCCGGAGCGGCCCCGCAGGGCCCAGAGTGACCACTGCAGCCCCGCACCCCGGGAAAAGAACGCAGAGCAGCCGAGCAGGGCCCGGAGCGGCCGCTCACAGCCCGGGACACGGAGCGGCCCCGCAGGGCCCGGAGCGGCCGCTGCCGCCCCGCAGCCCGACACGCACGGCCGCGGCTCGAGCGCGCCTGGGGCCGGGATCGCTCGTGAGGGTGGGATCGTCCCCGTGCCTGGAAGATCCAGTGTGTAACTGATTTCTCTGCCCAAGGAAGCTCTGAGCTTTGGGGGGATACAGAGCAGAGAAGCCTGGCTGGTCAGTGCTGCACTGCCACGCTCAGCGGGCTGTGTGACAGCTGATTCCAGGGCAGCTCTGGACAGGGCCCTTGCAGGAGACTGGGAATCATCGCTGCTCTTCTGAGGCGGTTGGGAATTTCCAGAGGAGGCTGGTGAGAGAGGAAAAGGCCCCAGGGTGTGGCAGGAGCAGCCCAAGCAGCAGCCAGGTCTTGGGAAGGATCTCTGCTGACCTTCGTGGGGCCTCGCTGGGAATTCTGTGTTCCTGTGACACCCACAGGGGTTTGGCACCCACCCCGGTCTGCGGGGGAGTTGTTTGGGAGTGATGTGTGCTCTCGGATAGCCCAGGGCGATGTGTGGGAGCACACAGTGGCAGGAGCCGGGCTGGCTGCTGCCTCTGCCCGTGCAGCCCGGCAGCTCAGAAGGCACAGCCTGCTGCAGGGCTCTGAGGAGCCTGCTCTGTGTCACTGGACCTGTCTTGGTGGGGACGAGTGGCTCAGGATTTCCCAGTGGAACAACTTCAGCAGCAAAGTCGGAGGGAAGCAGTAGGCCAGGGAGGGGCAGGAACAGGGAGCAGCCGAGCTCGAGTGAGTTACAAACCACAGCAGTTCCTGGGGTATCCAGGGGTGGCTGCAGCAGTGAGGAAAGCACTTCAAGGCTCCTTCCAGCCTGAAAGCCTGGGCTCCTGTCGATCTGGCACTCAGCCCCAGCCTCCCTTGCAGTACCCGGGGCTCACCCTGCTGTTGCCAGAGCTCACCTGGCTCTGCTGCAGCTGAGGCTGCACAGAGCTGCAGGCACGGGGAGCTCTGCTCTGCTCACCAGGCTGGCTAAGGCAAACCTGCCCGTTGCTTATTGACACGTGCCTGCAGCAGGCAGTTGGTTTGTGAGAGTGTAAATGAGTAACCTGGAGAAACCACAGTCAGGAGCAGGATTGTCCTTCCTAAATCACTGATTTGTCCAAGTATTTTTCTGTGAAAAGTTCCTGATTTGCTTCTATCTTTTTGTTCAGAGCAGTTGGGAATTAATACTAAATACCCACTTAAAAACTCCAAATTGTGTCATACATGAAGTGGAAAAATCCATGGGGGTTGAGACTTTGCCCTTCTGATGTCCCTGATGTGAGGAGCTCAGGCGTTTGTCCGTTGAGAATTCCCAACCGACAGCCACCCTTGGCTGTTGGCGTTGGGCAATCCCAGCGTTTACAGAGCCTGGTGGTCAAACATCCAGGGACTGTCAAGGTCACAGCCACAGCCTGTCACACACACACGGGGACCAGGGCTGCTGAGACCTCTTGTGGTTTCCCTCCCCCGTGTCCTCACAGCCCGAGGAGGAGGAGGGTGGCTGAGCAGCTCTTCAGCATTTGCACCATGTCTTGCTGCACAGCCAGCTTTCCTGGGCAGACCTTGCTCTCCCAGTACCTAACTGGGGGTGGAGGCAGCAGAACAGATATTTCCAGTTTGTCTGAAGGACAGTGTGCTATGAGAGAAAAAAAAATTAAAATACTATTTAATAGTTCAGGGGGATTTTCTTGAGCATATAGTTACTCCTGGCTATTTATAGCACTGTTATTTAAATATCCTAAAGATCCTGTCACCAGAGGTTTTTTCATGATTCCTTTGAAGAACAAACCCGTACTTATTTGAACAAAGGAGGGTGGGTGAGCAGCTCTTCAGCATTTGCACCATGTCTTGCTGCACAGCCAGCTTTCCTGGGCAGACCTTGCTCTCCCAGTACCTAAGTGGGGGTGGAAGCAGCAGAACAGATATTTCCAGTTTGTCTGAAGGACAGTGTGCTATGAGAGAAAAAAAAATTAAAATACTATTTAATAGTTCAGGGGGATTTTCTTGAGCATATAGTTACTCCTGGCTATTTATAGCACTGTTATTTAAATATCCCAAAGATCCCGTCACCAGAGGTTTTTTCATGATTCCTTTGAAGAACAAACCCGTACTTATTTGAACAAGTCACATCATGAGAGTTGTTTTTGTACCCTTCCCACCCACACAAGCCTAGCAGTGATTTTCATTTGGAGCTGGTTCACCAGAGGAGCAGGCAGCCGAGGAGCCCCTGTGAGGGCACAGGGATTCAGCTGAAAGCTGCAACTGGTGTGGTGGGACAGGCATTCCCTGCAGGGCCCAGCGCTGCAGGAGGCTGCCTCTGGCCTCAGGCAGGGACACAGGTGGCTCTCCATCACCGAGAGCTGAGTTCAGTGTCTGTCCCGTCCTTGCCGGGGCCCAAGGGAGGACAGACACACAAACCACGTTTGGAAATGGTCTAAGTGACCAAGCAGAATCCAGGCCTGCTTAGACCCTACCTAAGGGAACAGCCATCTCACCTGGGACAGCTCTGAGCCATCCTGGCTTCATGAAAAACTTTCTTTTCCTCCTTGTGCAGTTTTTAGCTCCAGAACAGAATTCATTCCCCAAGTTCGAGTAAGTTCTGTGGTTTTACTTTATTATTTTCCTTTGTAAAATATTTCAGCAGCATCAGTTGGGCAGGGATTTTGAAGCTATTTCCTTAGACAGAATTGCCTACTCCAACAGTGCAATTTTCCCCTAAATACGTTTTTTCCAACTGCATACAAAACTAAAATAAAGCTCTCCTTTCATTCCTTGCCTGTGGCTAGAGGGTATTTGTGATCTCAAGTAACAGGGAGGCTCCACTGTCCAGAAGAGGAACTTCAGGAATGTTTTTGACAGCAGTGATTGAGCAGGTGCTGCTCAGGAGCTGGCTCCTGCCTGGATCCCACTCCAGGTCCAACCTGAATTAAGGAACATTTCCTCTGAAGTACAGAAAATGAAATTTAACAGTTCACACACTGCTGCTTTCCACTCCACAGGAACCACCTGGCCAGGTGTCTGCAGGTCTGTCTGCTCACCATGCAGGAACAATAAGATGTCTCAGAAGAAGTCAATGCAGTCACACTTTAATGTGTCTTTACATCCTTTTACGATTCACAAAGTCAGAATATAAGTACTTATACACTTTTAATGGGGAAGTAATGTATCCCCCTGAAAGAAAAATAGATGTGATTAATCATTTGTCAGAGAAGTTGCCTGACAGCTGAAACCTCAAGCTTCTAGGCAAAAAAAGCTCAAATAGACAAATTATACTGAATTGTTCTTTAAAGACCAAGCAGCTGTTTTATTACAATATTAAATTTACATTTTAAAAAGAAATATTCTGATTTATTATTCAGTTATGATAATCTTATTGAAGTGACATGAAATTCATGACAATGGGCTTTCTTCTTCCTCAGTCACCGCAGGCAATCTCAGATCTGTGCAGGATCCCACACCCAGAGCAGCACCAGTCTGGGAAGACAAACCCCAGACACTCGATTTTAACTGGAATCTTAATTTTCCCCAGAAAAAGTGGGGTGTTGGGCTCTGTAACTGGGCTGGATTCCTCGGTTCAGCCCCAAAGAACCCACCCAAACTGGTTCCAACAGAGAGAGGACATCAGTGTCCACCACCTTCACCCTGCAGCCCCTGGAATGACCTTCGAACAACTGGGAGCAGGTTGAATTTACATTTTACTTCAAAAAAAAGGGGGAAGTACATACATGAGGGGAGAATGGGGTGAACAATAATTATCTGGAACCAGGTTTCCACCACTGTGACCCACAGCTCCCAGGGCTGGGCCATGGGCTCTCCAGGCTCACACCCTGGCTTGGACAGCACGACCAGGACTGGGACCATGGAAACCCCTGGGAAGCCCAGGCCGGATGGAAGCAGTGAGGTCACACACAGGGTGAGTGTGTCAGACACAGCTCCTGGTTTAAATGATGGAATGCACCAGCAGGAGGGAGGAGGAGGAGTTAACAGTTACTAACACTAGAATAATCAAATTTGTATGTTATACATATACAGCAACTAACTGCTTTACAAAAAAAGCAAAATAATACAATATATTGTCACATGTATTTACAGTGTAGTAAATATACTTTTCTGTCAAATTTTACACAAAACCTATTTACAGGTGAATATACTGCATAAAAAAAAAGGTGGGACCAACACTCTGAGTGACTGTCTGTGGTTTGTTGCATAACAATAGGACGTGCTTTGTGACTTCGGAAAAAAATTAACCTTAGAATGAAACAGAAAAAGCCCTAAAACCTACAAACCCGGGTCAGAGGCAGCCCCAGCACGTGCTGGGGGCTCAGCCCACGAGACTCAGTGAAATGCTCCCTGTCCTGGGAAACCTCATGCACGGTAAAGCAGAAACGTCGGCATCATTACAGGTAGGTTATGCACTATTCAAATACTACTGAGTTACCTTTAATCAGGGAAAATACAAACACAAACAGAATGTTAATTGTCTTTACAGTACTGAGCTGTGGTCAGTGTGGGGCAGGGAAGGGGCTCTGAGCCAGGGGGTCACACACGCTCCCGGGAGGGCGTTACATGGTCCACGTGTTCCAATCGGGTTTTTCTGAGTTTAAAGTTTTCCTGTCAGAGCACAGGGACTCTGGGGCTGCAGCTCCATCCCTGCAGCAGAGCCTGCAGCAGCAGAGCCTGCAGCAGCAGAGCCTGCAGCAGCAGCCACTGCCAGTGGCCCATGGGTTGCCCAGAGTGCAGTGGCACTGGGGACCCTGGGATGGGGCTCCTGCGTGTCAGGCCAGGGCTCACACCCACACTGTCACCAGCAACAACCTGCTGGTCACCAGAGAGCAGAGCAGCAGGTGGAGAAAGGATGGAGCAGCCCGGGATGGGAGCAGAGCTCCCAGGGATGGAAGGGGATGGAGAGTGCTCAAACAGCGACAGAACAAAGGAAGGAGGATGTGAGAAAGAAAAGAGGCAAATCCCAGCAGAGGCTGCTGGAGGGAGCGGGACAGCGATGTAGTGACAGTAAGGCACTCAACAACTAATTACTGATGGGAGTTTAATCATTACACAAAGGCCATGGTTCCCTGGGAGCCAAGCACAAGATTCCCAAGCACCAGTACTAGGAGACAAGGTTCCTGTCTATCAGGGCACACACGATCCCAAATTAAACCTTGGCCATCAGCAGTCCTTACACCCCAATTCACCTGTTACCTGACACAGGTGTCTGATACCTCTGCTCTGCCAGAGTCCAGGCCCTCTCACTGAACCTCTCACACAGGGAAAACTCCAACCAAATCCTTCCAGGAAAGAGGAAATTCACTTTTGTTCACTGACTTTATGAAGAGACCATTTTGTTCAGCTGGGCCCAAGAGCCTGGAGCAGTTCCCACAGGGAAGGTGACTTTCATCCCTGTCCCCTCTGCTCGCACATGTCTGTGCTGCAGGGAGCACAGCAGTTCTGATGGAGGGACACTTCTGACATGGGCCATGCAGAACAGTGAAGGGCTTGCTCTCTGCCCAAACAAAATCAATCAGGCAGTTCCTCTGGAATTACTGTTCCTGTTTGCAGATCTGCTCACATGAGAAACAACTGAAAACAGCACACCACCTTTACAAGAGATTGTTTTCCTCCTACATACAAATCCTCAGGCTTCTACAATTCCTTGTCCTCAGCAAAACGGGAAGGGCTGGAACCAGCTCGACTGGGCACAACCCAGTGCAAACCCCAGTCACACCAGGGGTGGCTCCTCACAATCTGAGTTGTGAGATGACAATGGTTTCCAACCTGGGGACCCCAAACCCAAGGCTTGAGCCCCTGCTCTGTCCCTGAGCCCAGCTCAGCCTCACGGCCCTGCTGAGACCCCACTCTGTGTCACCAGTTCTTGCCCTGGCGCCTGCACCACCCCAGTGAAGGGATTTGGTTAATTGCACCAGTTCATCTTTCTAGCCTGTTTATTCCATGACTGCTAATTCTAGGTTTTCCTCTTGTTTTGGCAAACTACTTGCATATGAAGTTTGTGTTCATAGTTTTTCCAGGACTGTAAACAAATTAAAGAAATTGTTATTTTATGAATCAATACAATAAAGGTATTTTTATTTACATAAATGTTACATTGTTACTGTGTGGATACATGGGAATTATGTGCTATAGCAATAAATTGAACCCTTAATTGTACCATTCTCTAATAATTTAGCTGTGGAGTTTGATTTACTGAAAGCCACTAACGATTGCACTGGAGGACTGGCTTTTACCTAATGGATATACTTTTTTTTCCTTTAAAGCCACTGAAGGATTGTTATTTCCTACCACAGCAGAGGGATCTGAAACTGGGAAGCGGATCTGTTTCTGAGCAGGAGCTGTGTGAGCCCCAGGGACGCAGCCCCTGCCTGAACCCAGCTCCACTCTCAGCCCGCAGTGCCCGCGGCACCGGGGCCGCGCCCAGCGGCTCCTCCCTCGCCACCAGCGGCTCCTGACTGCCCCAGCCCCAGGTCTGTGCAGGGCCCGCCGGAGCCCTGAACCCGCCCCGGGACAGCGACGGCAGCCCCAGGTCTGTGCAAGCCCCGCCGGAGCCCCGAACCCGCCCCGGGAGGGACCGCGCCACCCACACCTCCCTGGACTGGACACAGTGTCAGTTAATTTAAATTCATGTACCTTGAGCAGACGTGGCTGTTTCTGTCCCTGCCCGGGCAGCACAGGGGCAGCTTTGCCACACACTATCCCCCGGAGCCGGGAATGAATCCATCCCATTTTCCCTCCATTCCCCACTGGATACTCTGCCAGGAGCTCTTGAAGGTGCACATTGTTGGGAAGGGCAGAACTAAAGCACGTGCTACAATGACAGCTCGAGGCTCAGTTCCCAGGGATTTTCCCCTGTACAACTTCCTCAGGGAAGATGAAGTACAGCCAAAAAAAAAAAAAAAAGCTTTGGGAAAAAAAAGCCAGTTTGTCCAGTCTGGTCCATGTACAGTCCAAGTGTGTGAAGCTTGGTCTGGGGAACGAGGGACTCCTGCAGCCTCCTTTTCCTCTCCCCTTTATTGCTAATTACCTGAAATTTAACCTAATCCACCACTTCTGTTAAGCTCCTTGTACTGCAGCTATCATGAACTTCTTCTCAGTGTGGAAAAAAAAAAAAAGTACACAGCTAAAATCTTATAGGTTTGGATTAACACCAGGGTTGGAGAAACTTCCCCGGCTCAGGAAGCCACTACTACCTTGAGGCGTGCAAACAGGGTTAAGGATCAACACTTCCCTTAGCAGGAACACCTGAGGCCAGAGCAGACATGGCAGGGCTGGGGAATGGCTTTGGATTCGAGGAGCGCCGCAGAGCTCCAGCCTGGCCCGGGGCTGGGCTGGAGCCAGCGCGGGGAGCGCGGCCGTGACTCGGGCAGGGGGCAGGAGTTGATCGTCTGGCAACGCGGCTGGATGGGAACTGTACAGCTCAAGTGCAGCATCACACCCGGTGCAGGGCCCTTCGCGAGGGGCCGCGCGCGCCAGGCAGGTCCAAAAATAAAAAATAAAATTAAAAAGCGACAATCACACGATCTTTTTGATGCTGTGACGCTTGAAGCTGCCGGCGCTTCGCTGCTTCTGCACTTGGCTGGCGGAGCCGTGGCGCATCCTGCCGCTGTTGGCGTGGCCGGCGGTGGGCGAGAGCTCCACGTTCTCCTTGTCGATCCCTGCGGAGACACAAGAGCCGCCCTGAGCCGCCCGGCCCGCGGCATCCCGGAGGGGCGGGTCCCCCTGAAGGCCCGACCCCGCCGGGAGCAGTTTGAAAAGAATCCAACAGGATTTGTGGCAGGTAAGGGCTGCAGAGCCGCTCGCTCCTGCCCTCCAGCTTGTGAGCCAGCGGAGGGCAAAGGGAGAGTAAAACCAAGAAAACTGGGCTGTCCTGCTGGAAACAAGTCTGCTTAAGTGAAGGAAGGAGGAAAATGCAAAACAAACCACCAAACTGACTCTTAATGAGTAAAGAAAGTTTCCTAAGGAGGGTCTTGACAGGACACAGGCACAGAGAAACTGAGGCTGGGACTCTTCACGAGAACTGTGCTGAGCTCAGCCCCACCAGTGGCAGGAAGAGGCTTACAGGGCTCAGGATGAGAATGGCACCAGACAGGTTTGTGCCCACAAACTTAGACCCTTCTGAGAAGCTTTGCATGTCCTTGTCCTGCAGAGCAAAACTCTGTTATGCTTTGCTAAAAGTCTCCCATCAAACAAACCTCCAAACTGAAGTGCTTTAGTGAAGAGCCCACGCTGACACAACACCAGCACCCAATGCCTGGCGCTGGAGCCCTCAGCAGCAGCTTTGGGCACTGTCACTGCAGAGCCAACAGCCCAGAGGTGGGCTTGGTGCATTCCAACTGCTGCTCTTTATGCTGACTCTGCTGGGAGTTAACCCCACAGCAGCCTCTCCTGTAGCTGCCACACTGAGTCTGTCTGGGGAGTGCTCACCAACACCTCACACCACAGGACAGGGGCAGCACCAGCAGTGAAGAGCAGGACGGGTGGTTTGATGCAAGAGGATACAACTACAATCAGCAGCAAAAATTAGGAAGTCTGACAGCCAATAGAAAGGTTAGAACAAAGTTCTGTTATTGTAAGTGACATATCCACAATTATGTGCAAGAAATTCACTGGTGTTGGCATTAGTGAGAGCAAAGAACACCCTCCACACTCAGCACAGGGACAATGTGAGGGCTCCAGCCAGAGACTGCACCTTCCTCTCCTCGCATGGGTGACAGCACAAAACTCCCAAATTATGCTGAGGATGGGACAATCCATGGGCATGAGCAAAAATCGTTCTTACTTCTCCACACAAAGCAGAAACGCAGAAGTGTGCAGCTCCTGATTTAGTGCCCCACTGACCCGTGCCTGTCTGCCTGTGTGTCCCTGCAGTCAGAGCTGAGTCCTGGTCAATCTAAGGAGCTCACACCAAACGTTCATTTCAGCTTCACACGTGCAGCGGAGTGATCTCCATGTTAAGCATCCCTCTTGTTACCAGATTTATTCTCAAGGCTGTGGGTGACTCTGTCTGCTCTACCACCAGGTATTACTGGCATCCCCAAGAAATGCACCAGCTGAGCACTTGCTGAAGCCATTCCCGTGTCAGAAACTGCTCCTCATGCCACAGCCCGGCCCCAACACAGCTCAAGCAGCATTTCGTGCAAATATGATGAAAGAAGAGAGTACCTGGATGAGGCAGCTGCATGAAAACTGCAGACTTAGAGCAAGGCAGAGAAGCTTCACAGACACAGAATGAAAGAAATAAATGTAAGTGAATAATGTCCATGAGACAGGGAAGGGGAGGGAAAGGAACAGAGATGGTGGCAGACAAAACATTTACAAACAATGATCCTGGTAGTTGTTTCCAGATGCAAAAAATAATTTTTTTAAAGTATCTGCAACTCAGTATTTGTAGCCATAATAAAAAAACTCACTTGGCTGAAAATGTTTCTTTTAACTGAGTGCTGCTGAACACGTGGCCTTCACACTGGTGTTTTAAATTTAATTTCCAAGCAAACAATGCTCAGAGTGCCAGCAGTGTGTTGTTTCAGACTCACTATTCACCTGAACGAGTTCCCTAGTTCCCAGCTCTGTTTGTGGAGACTCTTAACCAGCCTTTGACAAAAGCCATCTGTTTGCACAGCACTTGGAAGGAATGTTTGACAAGTTGGGTTAATTCCTTCCTCTCAGCTTGTAAAGGAAGAGGGAATGGAAAGTGGGGCAGAAGGAAGGAGGACATTTACAGAGCAAAATGCTTCTTTCCCTTGCAGAGAGCCCAATCCTGCACCATCACCTCATCCTTGGAAATGAGCTGCTGGAGCTGCCACCGATGCTGTGTTGCAAATGGAAAGATGCTGCCCAAGTGTCCTCCCACACTGACAGCAAGGATGCTCCCAAAGAAACCCCTGTTCCCAAACCATTCCAACAGCCCTGCCTTACTCCTGCTGCTCCTCTGCACCCTGAACAAACCATCCCCGTGCCTGTGAGCCAGGGATCCCCTGCAGGGCACATGGTCCACGAGGAGGTGCTGCTGTTCTGATACCCTGAATTCTCTTCCCTTCACACGGAGTGACCTGGGAGACAATTTTTGTGCTGGATAATATCCAGGATCTGAATCAACAGGGTAACATCTCAGAAACAATTTAATATTCATTTGACTCCACAATGCACCAATGTTTGACACATAAACACAACCAAAGAGCCAACGAGGCTCCTAAAGCAGGAAATGCCCACATCTGCCCATCCCAGATGGGACCAGAACAGGCACTGACCTGGGGAGTGCTGGGAAGTGGCAAGTGAGGTCATGGAGTTGGAGAGGTTGAGGTTTGCAGTGATGCTGAGCTGGCTCTGCACCGCTGGGGGATACGGAGAGGTGGGGGTCAGGAGAGATTCTTCACTGGCTTCCTCATCAATTCCAGGCAAGTACGTGTCAATCAAGGCATCAAGGAACTTCACTATGAGCTCAGCATAGTCTGGGATTTGGGTTTGCTGTGGGAGATGGGGGGAAAAAAAAATTGTTATTTCCTTTGTACTTTCCTGTCAATTTGAGCTTTGCTCCAGAGCTCACTTTCAAGTCCCACTGTTTTGCCTGCAAATTTTCAAGAGCATTTGATATCTGTAAAAAGTGATTTGTGGCCTTGTCCAGACCAATCTAAATGTACACACTGCAGACCAGGTGTCAGTGTGGCTCAGTGTGTGGGAGCCCAGGGCAGGGAAAGGGGCTGCAGAGCCCCTGCCCCAGCCCCACACCTGGGCCACCTCCCCTGGGATGGCTGGACACATGGGCAGTGCTCCACTGGCTCTGCTCCAACACAAAGTTTAGCCTCCTGGAATCATCACCCTTATCAAATTAACCCCTACCCTGTCAGATAGATGTAATGAACTGACCCTGGGAGCAGGAAAAGCTGCCCTCACACATTGGCTGCTTTTACCCCACTTTGGTAACCTGCTGCAGGCCCAGGGCTGGTTTTAGCCCTGGAGGTGCCCCTGATGCTCTCTGCTCACTCACAGGAGAATGATGCTCCTTATGAACATCTTTGCTGCAGCACCAACGTGCCCAGAAAGGCCAAACAGCCCCGACTCCACAGAGCTCTTACCTTGGAGAAGGGGCCAGCAAACCTCCACAGCCCATTAAATCCAAAACCTGCAACAACAAATGGAACCACAATGAAAGCCCAGCTCTCACCTGACACAGAACAGAGTGCTCCCAGTACAGCACTTTTTTTTTTTAACAAAAGGAAAAATATTTACTCTGTAGATAGGATGTTTGGTATTGGGGTGGGGACTCCTCATGGTAGACAACACTCTGCACAATCCCATGAATTGGATTCAACAAGTTTGGGTCCTGGCACAGCGATAAAAGGGTATTGATCTTGGAATCCAATAAATTATGCCTGAAAAAAGGAAAAGTGGCTTAGTTTTTGGTCATTAAATAAAATAAACCTGCAGTTCCCAACTGACTTTAACAACCAGCAGTTCAGGTGGGATTTTCGCCCCAGCAGTGATTTCAGAACACAATTCCCAACTCTGTTCCATGAGGACTCCAATGATCTGCTCAGGTCAGTTTGTGACACCTGCTCACCTTAACTGCTGACAGCTGGGTTTCCTTTACACATATTCACTCCAGCAAAACTACAGCAGGTGTCTAAAGAAACACCCAAAGAGCACCTGCACTAGGCTTTAAATCAGCTTAGAAACACCTGGGGCACAAATTAAAATCAACCAGCACGGACAGACTGCAGCCTGTAACCTCCACACAAGCCAGTGCCTCATAGATGCTTGTCCTGGAGCAGAGCCCTCTAAAGAAAAGCCAGGTACAGAGTTATGGTAAGCAGAACTTCAGGTACTCACACAACAGGAAAGACCTTTGGGAAGACAACGCTGGCTTCTGCTAAATACTCGTAGAGGATGCGCTGGTCGAACTCGTCCGTGGTGTACTTCACCAGCGTGGCCTGGCAGGGAAGGAGCTGTTAGTGCACCTCAGTGGTTACTGCCTTTGCTGAAAGCTTTAAGGTTTCTGACTACCAGAAAGCAGTGTTAGAAAAGATTGACTTATGTCTCTGTTGAGAAACAACAGAACCAGTTGGCAACAATTTGTATTTTGCCAATAAATGTATCTCATCAGTTTTTACACAACTGAGTCTTTCTGAATCGTAGCTGGAGTGGGAACTGCAGAGGTACAGCTGAAGAAAGTACTATCAGACTGCACCTCTTACTAATTAATGACTTTCAAACTGAATCATCCTGGGATTCCAATAATGCTCATTTGTTTTGAACTATAATTATTAATAACCAAATAGTTTGTCATAATCTCAGGAAAAACTCCAAGGAACATGTTTGTTTTCCTGGGAGTTAAAAGGACATCAGAAAATAGCAGACAACACACAGAAGAAAGCTTACAAGAACGGTAAGCAGCAGTGCTTGAATTTTTGGGTCAGTCAGAACTTCTTCATCCAGGAGGACGTTTGACTCGGAAACGGAAACTTTCCGGAGGTGTGGGTGCTGCTGTGGTGATATTCTCTGGGTTTCTGCCAGATAAAAAAGAGCAACTCATCCAGAGCAAAATAAACCCAAAGCAAGACAGAATCAGGTTCTGCACAGAGGAGTCAGTCATGTGCAAACCTCAGAGTCCACCGGCCTCGTCACAAAGGTCAAAGCAACGACTGCGCTGTAGTGCAGCAGCACGGGACCACTACATGGGATGTGTTATCAGATGGCAAACAAAAACCCCAATTTCCTCTTCAGTGAAATACAGGCCCAGGGGTGTAAGTACCAAATTTAGGGTCAGGCAGATACAAGAGAAGAACCCTGGTCTTGCATTGCAATTGGGGGTGAGGGCACAGGAAGCAGATGGGGGAGAAGATGAAGAGAGGCATTCCAGGCATCAGCTCACGTTCCATCTCCTGCAGGAATTTGCAGCTGGGGCTTATTAACTTACAGAAGGCCAAATGCTATTTATTTCATTGCACTCCCATATGTAAGTCCTTCAGAGCTGCCCCTGATTCTGCACCTGTAAACTGAGCAGCTCCAGTGCAGCTCCAGAGATATGAAGGCTGCACCCTGCAGAAGCCATTGCTAAGAAAGGTGCTTCTCCCTTACCTTGGAGTAACCTTGGTAAGTAAACACTGAATTTAGAAATAGTCCTTTGTATAGATATACAAAGAGTTTACAATTAGTATTGTTCTTAAAATGTTAGTCCTGTGTCTCACCCATTTCATAATCATTTTCGGCTACTCTCCTCATTTTGGGAGGCGTTGTGATTCCAGATTCCATGTCTTGCCTTTTAGGAGCCTTTGTGTCCGATATCAAATGGTCAAAACTTTTCCTTGTACCTAAAAACAATTTATCAAGCAATTAAAAACATTAAACCTAAATCCATATTCTAACTTTTTCTGATTTTCTGGCCAAGCTACTCCCCTATCTACCATGTGTTGACAGGAATCTGTGGACCTTTCCACCATTTCAGGGATGGGACAGAAAATACGATCACACCATGCCGCTCTCCATCACAGCTTCCAGAGTGCTTCACAATACACAGGAGGGAGCATGCAATTAGTCAGGGGGGCATGCCATGGACTCCTGGCCCCCACACGGAATACACATGCCAGGACGTGGTTACTGAAAAGGAAGCAGGAAAGGGCTGGAATGAAGGAAATGCCCCTGTTCTTCCACCTGTGTAATGCCAAAGGGCTTCCACAAGTTCTGCAAAGCAACTCAGCTTCTTCCTCTGATACATGAGCTTGTTGTAAACATGATGCACTGAGAAGCCATGAGTACAAATCAGATTGTTTACACACATCTACCATGTTCTGGGACCATCTCCTCCAGCTCCAACCAGAGCACTCAATGGAGCAGCTAAAAATCCACTTCCTGGGTTTGCTGGAAAGGGCTGGGAGCACAAAACTGGCACTAGGCACCTTCAGGATCTGGAATATCTTGTTTTCTCCACTTGAACATGCACATCTTGAGCATTGCTCTCGCTCCCCCCCATCATGACCAAAAGAACTGAGTCCTCTTTAACTGTTCAGTGCCCTGAAATTTGCATTTTGCAGAAACTGCATTTATTCCTCTCAATCAGGAATAAGCCCTTAAAGCCAGAACTAGTACAAGAACATTTTTTCTCCAGTAACGCTTCCCAGGGTATTCTGTAGACAGATCAATAAATTAGTTATGTTAATAACCTAGAAGCTTTTTAGTGTTGGCTTGTGAAGGCTGCCCCATGTCCAAGCTCATGGATTTCCGGGTGCGAGGGCTGATCTGTCCCACTGTTGGGTAACTGGCAGCCAGGTGTCTGTCTGACCCCTTGGGGGATGACCAGGGCTGGTGTTCCTTTAGTGTCCTGAAAGTGCAGAGAAATTCAATTAAGAAAATCTTAAAACTATGCTCCTTAGGCAGAGGTTTTTCAAGCAGCCAAACTATCCATTCTTAAACCCATCTTTCCTACCCGGTTAATTTCCCCAAAACACATAATAACAAATAGTAATTACTTTGCTTGCAAAGATGTCTGAGCTAGTGAAAACAAACAATCTGATGTGAATGTGATGCTGAAGGGATAAAAAATAAAGCAATGAAAAGAACACAAGCAAATCAGCCTATGGGGCAAGATGAAATATATTTAGTAATCAGCTACTTCAATCTCAATGCTAAAAAGAGAGATCATGAGTGAAGTGCTCCCTGTTGAGGACACAGGCTCTCCTTGGCACTTCCAGTTGATCTCCTGGCTGCTCTCTCTGGCTGCACACAGGCTGTAACAAGGTGTCAAGGTTTCCCAGTGGCACAGACAGCTCCATGCCCTGGAGCTCTTAAAAGGACAAACAAAATGTTCTTCTAAAATATAAATGAGATTAAGTCAGGTCTTGTAGAAAGATTTTAGCTAAAGGTTTAACAGCCTCCAGAGCAGTTAAGCTCTGAAAATTAAATCTGTATGAACTGCACATCCAGATTTCTCTGTGACTCCTGACCCCAGTGTAAGGATCCAGCTGCTGAGGAGCCACCCCAGCCCACGGGCTCAGCGCTGCCCCTGGGGCTGCTCTCAGCACAGCTCTCTCTCTAAAGGAACCAGGCTTTGCAATGTGGGCAACTGATCTGAAAGTGAGACAACCAACCTATAGCTAGTGTCACTGTGATGGATGGGGTATGTATCCATGGGAACATTTTCCATTGAGACGTCTGTCAGCAGGAGAGACTTCCTGTGCTTGAGGCTGCAGCGGCTCCGCACCTCCTCCGACACCGTCAGCAGCGCTGCAAAGACACAGGCAAGGCAAGGCAGGCTGTCACAGCACAGCAGTGAACCATCAAACAGTGCTCCATGCACCTGCACTTCTTACAGGCATCAGTGTACATCTACACCAACACCACTGAGCTGCACTTTCACCTTAGCAAATGTACAGATTAAAAGCAGACCATTTAAAAAGAATTCTGTTTCCCATCCAGTTACAATGACAAGATTTACAAATTTGCCCTCACATGGTCACAATTTCTATGTCCAGACCACTGGAAACTTGAATGCTGTCAGGCATACACTGGAGTTTTTACACCAAGAAACCTCCAGCCTCCCTGAAGAAGTCCCAAAGCTGCAGAGGACGTGCTGTGCTGGCAGAGCCCTCAGTCCCCAAAGAGCCTTCCCAATGTGCCCACCCTGACCACACTCCTGTCCACCAGGTAGAAGTTTTCTTTGTGCTGGTACAATTTTAACAACCTAAACCTGAAGCAATTCCACAACAATCCAGTTCTCTTCAGTCAGCTCAGACTGGAAAGGAGAGTTGATTCATTACCTGCCAGGTAAGCCACGCTCTGGGTGTTCACCTCGAACTTGTCACAGTTCCTGTGTTTGTTCACCAGAGCAAGGAGTGTGTGCAAAATCCTCACTGTTCTTGCTACAGTGGTAGGCGAAGGATGCCTGTACCCTAAGAAACAAAAGATTGTATTTAACTTCTGAATCCATATTTATGAAGCACTAATATTTTGAAAGCATTTATAAATATTTTCCAGCACATTCTCAGACACTCCATCTCAAGGGTAAGAGAGCACAGTGCTACCAGAAATGGCACAATTATGACTAATTCTTTCTACCCTCCCCTCAAAACTGCATAATTTCAAATGTCTGTGCATACATTATATCTGTTATCTCACAAATCAGTCTTCTAAAAAACCCAGTGAGCCTGAGCACAGGCAAACAGAGAGAGACATTCTTGGAGGAAGAAGTAAAAGACTGCAGCAAATGAAGCTCTGCACCCTGTGACAGTTCAGAACTTTCAGCAGCAGCACTAAAGACCTTCACAGGAGATGTATAAAGGAAACCTGGTGAAGTCCTTTAATCCAAGAGTGTTTAATTCTGTATCTACTCTGTAACCCAAGTTACTCAAAATCCATCACCCAATGTGGCCCCTTTATCCCTTGACTTGTTTTTATTCCTGAAGTAAGAGCCATCTCAAACAAAGAGCAGTATGCATTCTTACCTTTCAGGAGATGTCCCACTAGTGCAAAGTTAAAGTTGGAGTTGAAATTTAGCCCAACAAAATGATCCATCTGCTTGCAGTGCCATTCGAGTGGTCTCCTGATCTCCATGAACACTTCTTCTGGGCTCTGACCCACAAAAACAAAATGTGAGAGCACCTCAGTTGAAGCTACTCAGGACATGTCAAGTTTGTTGGGTTTTTTGTTTAAGTGACAGAACAGTTCTTTCAGAAGCTACAGAAAAATATCAAACACTTTCTCACAGATCACATCTGGACATTTCTGTTCCAGTTTCCACCAGAACAATGACAACTTCTCTCCACAGCTTTATCTGTGGATCTCACCCAAGTGAAACAATTTCTAATGCAAATTCAGCTTTAGTTGCTTAGCAAGTGTTCACAAGGCCAAAGCTGGGTTTTTCCCCTGTTCTGTCAGCTCTGACTGCTGCACAGTGCAGGCTGTGGGCTCACCTTGTCGTTGAACACGCGCAGGCTGTCCAGGGTGTGCAGGTTCTGCTCCAGCAGGGCTGTCCCTGCCGAGTACAGGTTCACCTCATCCAGCTGCAGCACAGCCATGGCCACCCAGAACAGAGCCTTGTGCATAGGGGAGTCCTGCAGGGAGAGAAGGAGCCACCACTGCCCTTTAGAGTCAGTTCCTGCAGGTGAAAGAACCACCCAGATGGAGGGAAGGGTTTCTGTCCCCCTTGCAGCAGGTTTTGTCCTCAGCCACATCCATTCCAAGGGAACAGATGCTCACATGGACTTGTTAATGCACTTCACAGGTGAACAGCAGAAAGGAAATTAATTTCAAGCCCTGTTTGCACCTCCCAAGCCATTCCTCCACCTCCATCCCTTCCTTGCTCAGTGTCACCCACACTGCCCTGTACCAGCGTGACCAGCAATGGGTCTGTGGTTTCCATCTGGACATGGACTGCAGCTCTGCACACAGGACTGGCCAAGCGCCTCTCTTCAGAATCAGAACCACACACAGGAGGGAGTGGCATTCAGCACACCCTGGGTCCCCCGAGCAGAGCTGTTTGCAGCTCTGTTTTACTCACCACCAGGGGCTGCTCGAGGCTCTGTGTCCCTGCTGTGCTGAGGCAGAGCCTGGAGTGACCCTGGAGCACCCCGCCGTGGCCATGGCCCAGCCCTGGCTGCAGGGCAGCAGCGCACAGAGCTGAAGGCAGCACTGGGGCCTTGTGGGGGAACGGGCACAGCCTGGCACAGCCCCTGCCCAGCTGCCAGGCCCCACTCTGGGAAGCAGAACAGAACATTCCCAGCATTTCTCCAGCCTTTGCACTGGTCCCACAATCTGCCACTCTTCTTCCCATATGTGCTCCTTCCATGCATGAATCACATGAAGTGTAAACTTCAGAAACCCCAACATTTAACTGTATTTCTGAGATCATACCCATAACTGTAATTTACAAAATCCATTCTCTGTTTATTCAAAAGCCAGTGATTTACCTTGTTAAGAAGAGGCTGCAGCTTGGTGAGGGCTATAACTGTGGCTTCTATTAGAACTTGGCTATTATAATTATCAGGGCCTTTTAAACAGCTCTCGAGTCCCTTTTTGAAAAAAGAGAGTAATTAAAAATACAACCATAATTACATTTTGCTTTGTAAAAAGAAGATCAAAGCTCTGCACAATAACTGTTTTTCTCAATTATTTACAAAGCCTGAGCTCATTTTAAACCAACTCAAGAACTTTTGCAAATGGAGATTTAGACAGCAGAAATAAATGTATGACTGCACAATGTGTACCCTAACAGTCAGGCTATAGGGGGTTGTAAGAGCTGTAGAAAAGCTCTTTTATCATTTAGACACGATTCAATTAAAGTTTGTGTCTATAAAACTCTAATGAAATCTTAAAGGACACATATTTAGTACACTGTTCACCTGCTGTGGAACACAACCTGTTTTAGAATGATGGAACATCACTGTCAGGCCAGGCATCTGCTTCAAAGTTTTCTGATAAAAATCAGCTCTTTACTATATTTACCTACAACACATGAGGTCATTCACTTCCTTTAAGAAAAAGGAAGCTATGCATCATCTGCATGCTGGTAAATGCCTTAACAGAAAATGTCTCATTTATTCAAATACTGACTGCTGGATCCACCTGTGTCACGAGTTTTAAACTCAATACTGAGACCTGTTGATACTCCAGAAGTCACAGCAGTGATGGAACTCATTCAATTTAAATTCAGAAGCCACCAAATCCATTTAAATTCAGAAGCCTGGCCTACAGAAAGTGTATTTCCAATCAGTTCTATACAAGAATATGCTAGAAAAAACATTTATCCTAAAGTTATGCCAAGTTCTATATTTGATGGGAAAATCAAGCTAAAAATAGCTACTTTATGAGTCACAAAGGAAAAGAGACAGACCCATATACCTTGCTGAGAATTCGGATGATTTGTTTTATTTGTCCATGAGACACTCGTTTACTTATACAGCCAAAGACAACCAGTGCTCTTGGCTGCAGGGAGGGGTTGTACTGGAATGCAAACCTGTGAAGAGACAGAACACACTGCATTAAACAACAAATATACAACAAAATATATGTACAACAGAAAGATGAGAACTCTGAGTGTACTGCACAGGCAGGGAGGGCTCAGGGGTTGAAGTCTATGACTTACTTTTGAGCTAGTTCAGTCCACTGGTCCAGCCACTTGCACGTTGGAATATCCCTCATGCAAGCCTGAAGAGAATGAGATTATTTGAATAGATGTAACATGGAGAAAATGTATTTGCACAACTGGGAATGAGCAGAAATTTGGCTCTCAGAAATGAGCTGTTAACTGTCAGCAGGGAGGAGGCACATCCCCTGCCCTTGCTGCCTGTCCCTCAGGGATCCCCCCTGTCCCCTCACAGGGCCCTGTCCCTCAGGAGTCCCCACTGTCCCCTCACAGGGCCCTGTCCCTCAGGGATCCCCCCTGTCCCCTCACAGGGCCCTGTCCTTCGGGGTCACCCTGTCCCCTCACACCTCCATGATCTCCAGCAGGGCCCTGTCCCTCAGGGATCCCCCCTGTCCCCACACAGGGCCCTGTCCCTCAGGAGTCCCCCCTGTCCCCTCACAGGGCCCTGTCCCTCAGGGATCCCCCCTGTCCCCTCACAGGGCCCTGTCCCTCAGGGATCCCCCCTGTCCCCTCACAGGGCCCTGTCCCTCAGGGGTCCCCCCTGTCCCCTCACCTCCCCCCGTCCCCTCACAGGGCCCTGTCCCTCGGGGCTCCCCCCGTCCCCACACACCTCCATGATCTCCAGCAGGGCCTCGGTGACCGTCTCCAGCGAGGTGAGGGCGAAGGTCTCGCGCTCGTAGGAGCCGGGCGAGAAGGACCTGTCGCGGTAGCTGGAGCGGAACGCGATCACCGCCGCCGACTTCACTTTGCTGATCCCAAACAGCAAATAAAACTTGGGCAGAGAGAACTCAGTCAAGCTCAGCCTTAAAACTTGCTTGGTTTCCTCTGTTGAATGAAGTTGCATGTATTAGGTTCACAGCAGGGACATTCAATGCACATTTCCCCCCGGGACACAAGAGCCCAGGTCCCTGTGCCCACTCCTTTGCCCCTGCCCCGAGTCAGGCACAGCAGCTCTGCTCTCCTGCCCTGACTGCTGGAACCAGCACGAGCAGTGGATTCCAGAGACTCTACAGAGGAACTCGTCTAAAGATGTGGCTCTGTGTGCTCTCCTCACAGTGATTCAGAAAATGGAAATCCAGAGTGTTCCTGCTCTGAAATACCGACAGAACTGGAAGTTAAACTGCAGCAGACTCTGCTTTTGGCTCTGGCACTCACATGAAGAAAGACAAGCAGAAGAAAATGATGGCCCTGCTCTGGCACTATCTTTACAGTTCTGATTTTCAGCTGGTTTCAGTGCACTTCAAACCCACTGTGTGAGCAGGAGGCCCAGCACCCCTGTGCATCACAGCACAGACACCTCTGTGTGTGTGCACACCCACTCTCCCTGCTGATATGTACAGACATAAAATGAGATTGCAGACACTTAAAAAAAAGACAAGATCACTTAAATTTTGAATTTTTCTTCTGCACAAAATTCAGCCTGGTTTTACATTGTGCTTCTGGGCTAAGAAGTGCCAAATTGCTAATATCAATTATTTTAGGACTGCTAAAATACAGCAGTAGATAAAACACCTGTTTTAATACTGTAAGTTCACAATTCCCTTATGTAATAGGTATTTTTGTTACCATGTTATGCAACCATTCACAAGATGTACATGAGCCAGTTTTAGCACAGATGTATTTTCTCCTTTCCCTTACCAGAAAATCACTGGTACTTTCTTCTCTTTTTCTAAAACCCATTATACAAACGATTTACAGTATGCACCTGTGCGCTGACCTGCTCTAAGTAAGATATTTTTTAATTCCATACTCATTTCTTGTTGATCATATCCTCATTCTGATTTGCATTCATGCTGAACTACAACCCACTATTTTCAAACTCTCAGAACAGTTTGCAGAGAAAGACAACTCAAATATTTGCTAAACAAATTAAGGAGCAATCAGCTTCATTGAAAATCCAAAAAAGCTCACCACTGAAGTGAAGCTGTGAACAAGTGCAAAGAGAGTGAATGATGTTGATGACGAGCCCATGAGTGGAAGCTCTGAGGGAAAGGGGCCCCGTGGCCACCAGCAGAGTCACCACGTGGAAGAGGTAGGGGAGATGTGCAGCCACGTCCAGGGAGTTGTTGAAGGAGAGCATGAGCATGTACCGAGCCAGAATGGCAATGTCATCCCACATCAGGTGCTGCTCCAGCGTGGGCGTGGGGGACAGACAGGTCTTGTCAATGATTTTACACATCCTCCCAATCACCTGAAAAGAGAGCAACCATTTTGCTCTACTCAAACAGGGAGCACAGCTCAGAGTTCCAGTAAAAACCATCACCACTTAACACTGAAATTACTCTACTGCTTAGAACCTATTTTATCACAGGTTTTGCATTGTTGCCTGTCCTGAAAGCATCATTTTTTACCAGAAAGCATCTCAGTGTCACATTAGTAAGTTGAAATTATTCTCTAAAAGGAAAAGAAGGCAAAGAGGGAACTCACTTTGCTTGACACCAGTTTGACATTGCCAGAAGCCAGTGCTACAGCTGTGTCTGCCATCACCTCAGCCTTGATGGAGCCCAAGCCCCCCGTGGCACTGGTTTTGATGAAACTGTCCAGCACTACATCCAGGAGATCTGTTATCTGACAGAGAAAAAGAGTCAGATTAACTTTACTTTTCCACTGTGAACCACCCTTTAAGCAGCAGTCATTCATTTCTTTAGCTGAAGATGCACAACTATTACAAAGTGAGCCATCCATTTTAGTGACTTGTTACCCCTTCGGCAAAAAACCCCATGTAAATTTTAGAACATAAAGCTGAATTCCATTAGGTTTTACTACTAGTGATTCAGAACCAGAAACTATAATTTAGCACTATTTTTATTTCATTTTCCACTTTAAAAAGTTTATAAAATGCTGACCCCAGTAAGAAGAAAACCCGATTTGAAGTGCAAGAAAGCAGGTGTTTGTTCAGAAAGGATGCAGCGGTGGTACCTGTCCCAGGCTGCCCCATATCTTGGCCTGGATGGAAGGGTACATCTGCTTCTCGTTGATGGTCATGGTGATGAGCTTGTCCAGGATGGCGGTGACGCGCTGGCGCTTGGCGTCGTCGTTGTGCTTGCAGAAGCGCACCAGGTTGGACAGCCAGGGCGTCATGTACTCCAGGCACAGGTGCTTCAGCTCAATGCCTGCAACAACCACTCGTCACTCAGGGCCAGCACCGGCCTCCCTCCATCAACAACTCCTCACACCTTGTCTTTCAGTTCTAGTGCCTAAAATAACTGCTGTCCCAGCTGAGCAGAGAACACTGGGCCAACAGAGAAGCTTCAAAGAGGCATGGCAAAAGGAGAGAGCAACAGAGCCAGTGAGGAAGCTCAGCTGACTAAGCTAGATCTAGAATCTTTTTAGAGATTAGAATCTTTTCAAATTCATGGCTGGCACTAACCAGCAGTGCAGTTACTTACTGGATTTGCTAAATCCTGAAATACACTCCTCCAAGAACTCCAAGGTGAGGTGTGGCTCGTTGGCTGCAAGAGTCTTACTGATAGATACAATAAATAGTGTGTTGTTGGCAGGAATACACAGACCTGAAGTTTCCAGTAACTGGCCCTCAATCTTTAAATTAAAGGTACAGGTTAAGGCACATAGAAGATTATAGGCAGCAGACCTGTAACAAAGCACAACAATGTGATTTGTAAGAGCTTTCTTGTACTTTGAATATATACATGTTATACACCACAGTACTGACATTTCAAAAATCAATTCAATGATGCTGTAGCAGAAATTACACCTAAATCCCAAACATTTTCCCCAAACTGGTTATAATTCGGAAAAAAAAAGAGAATTTCCTTGGAGAATTAAAAGAAATTATTCCTCCACTTACTCTGAACAATTTCTGATAAGATTACAGAGTATGTTTGAAGGGCTTGGTATTGGGCTTTTCAGAACAGCCTGGAGTTCCAGGAAATTCTAAATCCCTCCAGGTATACCTGAGCTGCTGGGAGAGAGCCTGCCCAAAGCTCAGGGGTGCCCCTGAGCCTGGGGGAGCCTGTTCTGACACAAACCAGAAGCTGCTCTAAGGGGTACAGTTCCCATGTTCTTAAACAAGAAGCTCAACACTATGGAAATCATAAACACAGAGTGCAAAGCAGAACTGCTGCTCCTCATAAAGAGAAAGGAGGTTTCCTTCATGCCTTCACTTCCTCTGACAGTGTGTGCCCTTCTTCACTCACAGGAACTCCATCTTTATTTATTCAGAATTGCATTTTATGGAGCCGTGGTGAAAGAAAAACGGCTTTGCTCAGGAGAGGCTTGCTAACAGTGAAGCAGCCTGGGAGCCCCGGGCGAGCAGAGGAGCAGGGAGAGCTGAGTACCGCAGGCTGGGGTCGGAGCTGCCCAGGTTGAGCAGGGCGATGTTGAGCAGCGTGCCGGGCACGTCCTTGGGGCGGATCTTGGTGTGCTGGGGGATGGAGTCGGGCTGCGACAGCTCCCAGCGCGTGCGGATGTGGATGATGGACCTGACGATGGCCTCACACTCCTGGTGCATGAAGGTGAGCGGGGTGCCCTGGTTGGCAATGGTCAGGGTGAACTGGTTCTCATCCACCAGGCAGATCTCCTCGATCTCAGAGGCGTAGTAGATGTCATTGAGGAACACGGTCTGGCCCAGCACGCGCGTGCGCTCTGCCGACGTCACCTGCACCGCCGTCGAGCCGACCTTGGGGACAGGGGAGAACACTGCTGCAGCACCTCTTGGTAATGACACAGAGAAAACCCTCACACTCCTACTTTTAGGGAAGATAAATGTACGAAATTTTCTACTTCCTAATGGGGCCTACTAGAGAGCTGCGATTTCTCCTCAAGACAAGGAAGGAGAATTAAGAGACAGTAAAATCGTATTCCAATCCTTAAACAAATACAACAGATCACTAGGAACAGCATTAAAAGCACTTACTTTAATAGAAACTTTGGTGTCTTTATGAGCCAGTTTGAGAGCATTGTGAAACACTTTCAAGTCCTCCTCCAAAGCCAAGGTAGCTGCTGGGAGTTTCTGCTGGTCGTGTTCGATGTGCTCTGCCAGCTTCCCTGGAGAGTCTATGAAAACAAGCCTTTTGCTCCCTTTCAAACCTGTCAAGAGCCTTTCATGGTATTTGGTGTATTCTCTGACCCAAGAGTTACAGTTATAAATAAAAACTGCTGCGACATTTTCATAAGCAAAGCCTGGAAAAACTACAAACCATTTAGAAAGAAAGTCTGTTTTAAAGCGATTACTGGGGCCAGCGTGTGTGAGGTCCACCACAATTTCATATGGCTTTGCATAGTATGGCTTCAGGGTCAGCAGCACGTGGTAGATCAGCAAATCCCCGTTGATCTGACCAGTCTTGAACCTGTAAGACAGGACAGACATGGCTGGGTCATGCTTGAGCCCACAGCACAAACCCCAGAGTGCCCAGGCACACCAAGAGCACCCCCAGTCCTGCCCTTGAGCCAGAGTGACCCTTGGGACAGTCCTGCAAACAGCCTCGGGCCACAGCAGGGACACCCCACAGCCTCGGGCACTGCCTCACACTCCAGCACGTTTAGTGCCCACAATGAGGGGGCTTGGATTTAACTCAGCTTCATCCTGGAGTGCCTCACAACCCCTAAGTGCTTCTAACTTTGTAACAGCCTTAGAGATTCAAATTATATCTAGATTTGTATGTGGAAAAATATATTTATCTCAGGAGTCTTCATAATAAACCATCCACAACCCAACTTTTTCAGAGGGTCCAGAGCCACTCCAGTTACTCTATCCTGCAGCACTCCAGTGCTTGGGGGTGTTTCTAAGAATGGTCAGGCCTCTGAGGAGTACAGAGGACTTGCCTACAAAAATACCTCTTTTCAAAAACATTCATATAATTGAGAATGTTTTTTCTCATTTAAAGGTTCTCTGAATTTTGAGACTGGGCAATGCGTTTGCCTAAACCACATCTCCAGGATTCACACAGCAGACTGAATTCTAGTAGGAAGAATTAATTAAAAATAAATTCATCAGCAGCTTGTGAAATTTTGTTATTTTTAAATACCTGGCACTGTTCTGAGCTGTCATTAACTCAACTCTTCCAAGGCAAACAACAGGCTACAAAGAGCTGATAAATGCTCCAAGCAGAGGTGTAGCTTTAAGGTTTTGGGACACTTCTCTTGGCAGCACCTGAGCACAGGACAGCTCAGGAGACAGCACACAGAACTTTCACCTGCACAAGAGATTCCCCCCCCTCCCTGTTACCTCCTGTGGTTCTGAGAGCTAACTTGGGCAAGCTGGTGTTTTTCCCCCAACATGTCAGGGTATAGCTGTCACCAAAGGAAGTGTGTCACAGCTTTTGTGGTTTTAGTTCCCCACTTCGAGCCACATGTCACTGCAGTTACAGGTTTGCCTAAAACACCAGCACTGCCCAAATCTGCCTGCTGTACACTGATGGTTGTCTGCATCTTAGGAGCAAATATATGCACAAGGAAATCTTATTGTCAAAGGACTGAATATCTGAAACATCCATGTTCTGTTGACTGCATCTTGGCAAGGTAAGTACACATTTTCCTTCTCCTATTTTAAGCTGTACTTTTACATTACAAGTATTTTTACAGAAGTTTGAGTAATTAAAAACCAGTAACAAACTGTAGAAATAGTATCTCCAGCTGAATCAGGGAAGCTGATCTACTGTACTTTTCGTCATGTTAAAGGTTATTCACAGTCAGACTGAGGAATTAACAGTGACAGTCACTTCTTGGCTCTGTTGTCCTTGCAGTGCAGATCTCGCTGGGTACTGAGACCCTGTCAACACCCAGACACAAAGGGCTGAACTAAAAAGAAAGCCAGCTCTTTAAAGATCAGCTCCTTTTCTCTCGAGGTTTCAAGAGCAGCCCTTCACACGACGAGCCCCCTGATTTAAGAACAGCACATCTGGTCTGGAAGGCCACAAGGAACACTGGGCTCAGTGTGCCAGGCAGGGCTGGGAGCTGCACCCCGGGCAGGGACAGGAACGCTGCAGGGCAGCTGGGCTGGCTCTGCCTGCCCTGCTCCAAACAGCTGAAATGGTAAAAAACCCCAAGCTTTGCTGGGTTTGCTTTCCTTTTCCAAGTATGCTACAAGGAATCATCCAGGTGACTTCCACCATACTCAAACAAAATCCTACCTGAGCTGTAGTTTATGACTAAGATGGTTTCTAGTTCAAACTGAATAAACAGGATTAAGCTCAGGATGGAGAACAATTTTATGGGTGAACTGCAAAGTTACAGACAGATCTTTTGTTGCTTCCTTGTTAGGTAAGGAGAGATCCCCTTACACACCAGGTATATCCCTGCCTTCCCTTCGCCTGGTCACACACCAGAACATCACTTCTCTGATTTCATATTTACACACACAATAATACACTTTGTTACCTTTATAGGCAACAAACACATTTTTTCAAGAACAACCACAAAATGAACTGTGACTTTTGGCCACTCCCTGTAGCATTTCAATTTGCACCAGGCAGAGTGTGTAACACTCAAAGGAAACACTTTGATCTGCTACCAGAGACAGAAGAAAGACAGAACAAGACACAGCCTTGCCCTGGGAAGGTCAGGAGCAGCACGGCATGGATCACTGCTTGGCTGATTTGTCACTGCTGATTTGAGATAATTAATAGGATCTTCATACCAGACCAACCCCACTCTCACATTCCTACCCTCCAGAAAAATTCAACAGGTACAGATTTGAATACCACACAAATGTGAAAGAGAACATATGAATGGTTACTGTCACTTGCATAATTATCAGTGGTGTTTTAAAGAAAATGTCACAATCTGCAGAATGTTTGGGAGAAAAAGACAAGAAGTACATTTGTGATAAAGAGCTTTTAGTACAAAAAAGCAGAAAAACAAGAGAACAAAGATTTTCTTGGGCATTTTAAAGTACCCCAGACAGTTGTGCTAGGAACTACACACAATTCACATTGAGTTACTGCTGTCACTTACAGGAACATTCTGGGTTCCACTTCTTCCCTTGCCCATCTGTTCCCTGCCCCAGGGGAATCCAGGGAGGTGAGAAGCAGGCAGTGGTGTGTAACCTCCACAGGGCCTTTGTGCAAAGCAGAAGTGATGACTGGGTGTGATGTGGGCAGCTTGGGAGAGAAGGAACTCCCCGAGTCTGCCCTGACATCATGGAGCCCCCAGCAGGAAACACGTCTCTTTTTCTCTTTGCTCCGTGTTCTTTCTTGAGCTTTGTAGGGTTTCTGTAACCTCAAACTGTCAGAAGTTTGAGACAATCTATTCTTTCACAATCTGGGCACTTGAACTCATCCTCCTACATCCCCCCAAAATGAGGCCATGTATTTTTCATCAAGAACCTTGCTATTCCCTGAGAAGTCCAACCCAAACCTCTAAGAGCCAGCCTCTGCTAAACTAGCACCACAATTTGTATTTTTGCAGGGGACTCAACAGGAAGATGCAGACAAAGAGATGCAGTACCCCACACCTGGCCTTCCCAGTCATGATCATCTTCTCCCTGTGGCTGCAAACGAGTGCAAACCACACAGGCTACCCTCATCTCAGAGAAGAGACCTGGAGTCAGAACAGGACAGAAGCAAGCACAAAGTCTCCTCTGAGCCTCAATTTCAGCAGCCAAACAACTACTTCTGAAATGCAAAGTACCCTGCCATCCTCCTCCTCCACACTGGCCCAAAATTCAACATCTTCCCGTGCCAAAATACGAAGTACCCTGCCATCCTTCTCCTCCACAACGACTCAAAATTTGATTTCCCCTACCCCAAGTGCAGTTTCCACCACGGGAGGATTAGAGAAAAGCAGCAAACCCAAGAGCCCAACGACCAAAGAAACCTGTGAAGACAATAAGTCTCTCATACTGATTTGCTTCATTATCATTGCAGTTCTTGTGCTCATCTGCATCTCCCTGTTTCTGTCCACAGTCGTAGCAGCCAACAAAATCTCCTATCTCAAAAGAGCCCAGCAGGGCAAACGCAGGCCCAGGAGCAATGGAGACCTCCTGGCCACCAACAGCTTATGGCCCACAGCAGCAGGAACGTGGCAGAGGATGCCCCAGGAGACAAGTGGAACCGAGCTGATAATGCAGGAGCTGGTGTCAGGGAGGGATGCTGTGAACCAAAGGAAAACTGAAGATGAAAGTACTGAGAAACTCACCAAAGCAGCAGATAATGGACAAGAAAGCAAAGAACCATCCCAGTCACACAAACCCATTTTAACCAATTTTGTAGTTGAGATTTAATTCACACTCAGGTAAAAATTCATTTTTTGCCTTTGTTACACCATTAACATAAGGCAAAAACTTGTATTTCAAGTAACAGCAAGAATTTCTCCCAGGAAAGCAAAATCCAGATTTTAGAGCTTATCCAATTATGCCAGTGGGAATGCTGCAGCCATGTGTGGATCCAGAGGACAGTAAAACTGTTAAACAGCTTTCTGTAAGTAGTGTCAAGACTGGTTTTACTCCTTTGACCAGAAATCAGGGTGACAGGAGCTGAACAGGATAAACCAAAAGGACAGAATCTGCCCGAGCTCAAAGACCACAGAGGGGAACAAGGAACAGACTGTCAGTCTGCTCAACACTCTGAACACTACGATGCTGCACAGGCATAACCAAATTGCTTTTCAAAGGAAACCATACATTAGTCACAACTCTGATTCAACCACTAATGCAGAATTTAGTCCTTCTCAAAATGCTTTTGGATTTTCCATCAAGAACTTCTTAAACCAGCTGAATTACTTCTGAAGCAGACTGGAACCATATTTATTGTGTTTCAATGTTGGCTATGAATAGATGAAGTCTGTAGTATTTGCTAGAATATGAGAAATTGTTCAATTTGTTATCTTCAATAAACTTGTAATATCAGTTTTTAAATTAATTACGTGGTACTATTTCTCTGTCAAAATGTTAGACAAAAATATGACCAGGCATTTTGGAATGCTTTCAATATCAGTTTTTAAATGAATTACGTGGTATTATTTCTCTAAGTCAAAATGTTAGAAAAAAATATGACCAGGCATTTTGGAATGCTTTATTCCTGTAACACTGGCTGAGCTCACTAAAGGTCTCTGATGAATGGCTGTGATTTCCTGCATCATGGAAACACTCCACTTTCTCCTGACACCAAGCAGAACATGCCAGGAATTCCTTTCAACCACAACAACTTTTAGTTTCTTTATTCTCAGAGACCTGACGTTGCCATAATGGCAGGGAGGTGCTGTGGCTGCTCTCCCTGCAGCAGAGCTTTGCTCTTTTAAGGAAACCTGAGCAGCTTTCCCCAGGCTGCCCCTCGGGCTGAAGAAGCTCTGTGGTTACAAGTGCTGAGACTGCACAGTGCCAGAGCTCCAAACATCCTGTGCAGCTGCAACCAACAGCTGGGACACTTAAGATGGTTGTAGGAGTTTGAGAGGATCAGGATGACTGAATCCCCCACCCCAATTCCACCCATCAGCTTGGCTGGCAGGGCAGACACAGCAGCAGCAGAGGCAGGACGACAGCACCGTGGCAGCCAGGACAGAGCTCAAAAAATTCAACTGCCAGGCTCAAAGGTGGGCTGTGTAGTGAGGAAAATAAAGCTGGAAGGAGTTTAGATGCTTTGCCTAGAACTGGGAATGAGCTGTGGGGGTTGAAGAGAATGGGGAGGAGACAAAGAAATGAGATGAGAAACACCAAGCTAGTGTGAGCAGGGGATCAGGATGTGTGTGCTGCAGGAGCAGGCAGTGTCAGAGAAAAGCAGTGCAGTCAGAGAGGCACAACAGGAAGGGCTGCAGAGGAATCTGTCAGTAGCTACTCAGAACACAATTGCAAAGTGCCATGAGGACACATGTGGTGTGGGTTTCTTTCCACCACGCAGCCTTTCCAGGCAAAAATGCTCCCAAGGACCAAAGAGAGCAGCTTGGGTTACACTGCAGGGTATGGACAGGGGCAGACTGGGGAAGCAGCTGCTCAGTGATGGCAGCAGGTCACAGCGCTGTCCACACACAAAAACAACCCAGCAAGTAGGGGCAGGCTGAGGGTGAAATCAGATTTTGCCCTCTGCCTCTCGCTGCAGCCACACAAGACAGGATGTGTAAGCAGCCAGCATCCCATGACCACACAGCTTTCCATGACTCACCAAGGAATCCAGGGGTGGTTTCCCACCAATACCCCTGAGAGCACAGCAAACCCACCACGGAATTGCATCAGCAACTCCAACCCAGCCCAAACTCGGCGAGTTTTTGATTCGCACAGAAGAAACCGTAACAATGTTCTACAAAGACAGGCAAACAGGTATGTGAGACTCTCCACGTGAACACACGTGCCTGATGTGGCAGGGGCCACGAGCACCCTGTGGCAGGAGCAGCAGTCTGCCCTGGGACACTCAGCCCCAGATAAGAGCCCCGAGCTGCTCGGCGCGGACGCTTCCTGCGGCGTTGGCAACTTCCTCCCTCTCTGTACAAACTTCTGCCTGAAAAGAGCCATTTTACCCTGCCTGATCCGAGCACACGCAGCCCTCCCGAGCCTTCAAACAACAAAGGCAGACGCTGCCTGCTTCAGGGAAGATAAATGTGCAGGTAAGGATCACATTCAAGTACTGAGCCTATTTTGAGAAGAGGGGAGCAGGATAAAAACTGAATAGAATCATTTTAACCCACTACAAACCTGACAGAGTTTAGACCACGATGTTCTCTAGTCATTAACTTACTCCTCATGTGTGTTTACACTGCTGCATTTAAAATTTAATTTTCTGTATTTGTAAACCCATAAAGACTCATGCATATTAATTTTCCAGAAATAGCTTCACAGGACTAGCACTATAGTAACTAATGAATTAGCTCAAATTGCATGAAAGTGACTTCAGAAGGAAAAGAGCTGTGTAGGGGATGAATTTTATATCATTTATTTCATATGGAGACATTTAGAGAGCTGAACTCTAATCAGTACAGGAAAAAAAAGTCTGTTTCATGCCAACAACTCAACATTTGCACAATCTGCATGCAGGAATTTATTTATAAAACACTTTACCATTAGAATGCTGTGTCATTATAGCATAAGTACTTGGAAAACTTTTAAATATTTTGCTATGCTGAACAAATATGGGAACAGGAAATAAAAGTTTAAGAGAATTGTAAAGAGCCTTTTACTTCTGTCTCAGCTTATATCACAACAAGCCACTTCTTCACTCCTGACAACCCTGTCTGTCAATGCTGCAGAGTTTGTCCCAGGTCCATAACCAGTTACATGATAGATAAATGCTATTTTGAAACCTTGTGAGGACTGCTCTGCCAATCTGCTTGTTCTGATAAGGTGAAAAAAGATGATAATAAGCCATTACCTTCAAACAAGCCACTTTATTAATATGATCCATAATGCTGAAAATCTGCTGTTATTTGTAAAGTCAGTGCCAAACCTGCTGATCATGCAGATGGGAACAGGCTTGAAATGTGAAATGTTGGGGAGACCGTTATTTCAGCCTGATGTTATTAACACAGAACTGCCTGGGGGCACTAAAGTGCAGAAATAGTTTACAAGTTACCATGTTCTACTTCTTCCCTGCAACAGCAGAGGACCCTTGTAAAGAGGCCGGAGGGAAATGGCCAGCAGCCAGGTCATGCTGGTCCTCTTCTGTGGGGAAATCTGGAGCTCCCTTTGTGCAGCAGCACCCCAGCACGCTGCCAGGACTGAAAGGCACACGTGCAGCACTGCCACGAGCCCCAGAGCAGACCACCATCCTCTCTACCAACTGCAAGCAACTGTGCCCAGCCAGTCTGACAGAGCCCTGGCTGCCACAGAACCCCAGGCCTTCCCAGGGCAGGAGGAAGCTGGGGATGGCAGCTGGGTGGCAGCGCTGCTCCTTGGCAGCATTTTGATTGGCATGACCCTGGCAATTATTGCCATTCTCCTGTGGAAGTGCTGCACCAGGCCCCCTCCGGCCCAGTCGCACTGGGCAGGCCGGTCCCCCTTCGTGGATGGGGGCACGTCAGATCTCTTCATGGACTCTGACCCCGGCACCAAGCGCTCTTCAGTCTTATTTATGCTGCCGTGGAGACTGAAACAAGGCACAAACGTGCAGGAGGACCCGAGTGTCTCAGAGAGCCCACCCCAGCACACTAGCACTGCTGAGAACGGGCAGCCGCCTGCGCCGGCCACGGGCTGCTGCGGGGCTGGCTCAGCCCCTGCCCCAGAGCAGGAGCCAGCCAACACTGCAGCTGGCTCCTGTCCTCCCCCAGACACTCCACCCGAGTGCTCCGACCTGCCACCACCCCCCGACTGGCTCCGGGAACCCGCTGAGGAGCCCAGCTCAGACCCCAGCAGGCACTCGGCACTTCCCTTGGGAGCAGAGGAAGCACAGCCCTCCCCGCCTGAGCTACTGATCCAGGAGACCCATGAGACACTGCCCCAGCCACAACACCCTTTGTAGACTGCCAAGTTGATTTCCAGAATACTCTACATCTGTCTTAAATCAAGTAATTTTCAAGATGTAAAAAAGGAGAAGTTGACACAGGCAGGAACGGTGAGGCCCCAGCATTTCCTTGACATTTCCCTGGTGTTTCCCAACTTCGGCTTTCACAAGAGAGAACAACCTGCTTCTGCCTGAAGCAAATTTCTGACTACAAAACAAATTGTGCCAGTCACCACCTGTAACCAGAGATTCCAGAAGGCAGAGTACACAGCTGTGTGTGCCAGCAGGGCCAGACACAGGTAACACACGTGGAGATGTCCCAGACAGCCCAGCGTGAGGGACTGGGATTCACACTGGGCTTGCTCCACTGGGCTGTGCAAGTGGATGCACTCACTGCCAGGACATTTTAATAAAGCTTGCTCAGTCAAAGACGTTTTGGTCACTTAAAGCCCACCTGAATATTTGCTTCAATACAGCATGCACTCAGTTACTAACACAGACTCATGTAATGGTTCATGGATGCTAGATTCATTCCTTGGAGCTCCTGGTGTCCCAGTGCTTTGCATGCTCCTCTCTGGTCCTGAGTACCAGCACAGCCCATCTCCCCCTCACCAGCCTTGGCTGGGCAGTAGCAGCCTGGTATCAGAAGTAGATCTTTTTTTTTTACCTGTATTGAATATTTATATAAAGAAGCTGCTAGATGTTGAAGCTAATTTTCCATGAGAGCTCTGCAAAATGGTAGAGTTTGCAGTTTGCTTGAGGAAGGAATAGATTTGTGGGTGGAGCACAGAACAGAGATTTGCACACAATAAACTTCAGAATTTTCTAACTATCACTAATAAAGAGTAGTACATCATCCAAATGCAATTCCAGGCTGCTGTGCATATAATGACCAAAGGAAAATATATTTTCAATTTTCGTTACTGTTTACATAAGCTGTATGATTGGGTATGCCTAAAGAATAGCATTACAATTATACAAAGGCTTTTGTAAGGCTCGATCACATGACACCCTGTTAAAATTAACAGCACTATAAACAAAACATTATAAACACTCTCCCTCGTGTATTGCTTGAGAAAATCAGATCAAGATTTCCTGTAGAAATCTGTAAAATCCCACAAGCTGAGCTATAATACACCTGACAACACAGCGACAGCCTGACCCGAGGAGCAGAAAACAGCATTTTAAAATTATGAAAATATATTCTGGCAGTGTAGCTTTAAAAAGCCTAAATTCACATGAACCTCTATGACAGGAGGAGAGGCTAAGAAGGCAGAAAGCACCCAAGGTAACACAGGAACACGCAGGGGGAGGCAGCCCCGGCTGCCGGAGGGGAGCCCAGCTGCGAGCAGGCAGCCCCGGCTGGAGGGAGCAGCACAGCCGGCAGGGCTGGGAGCCGGGCTGCTGCCCCAGCCCAGCCCCGGCAGGTCCTGGCAGGGC